CAGGTTGGGTCCGTAGAGGGGTAGAGAAACCCTGGGGGAAAAAGGGGGGGGGGGGGGGGGGGAGACTTTTGCCCAGGGGTGTATATATATACATGTTTCTCTTTGATTATTTGTTTGTTTTCATTGATATAGATGACAACATCTTATACAAAATTAAATCTTTTAAATTTCACTTTGAATTCATAAAAGATGATTGACAAATGCGATTTTTCATGTAAATAATTTTATCGAAACACGTTAAAGTTCCAATAAATATATATAATTTATTAACGTACTAAGTGAAAAGACGTATTTATATTGAATATTTTAACATTTCATATATTTGTATATATTTACATATAATAAAAATAAATCGAGTAGAATTGACTAAAATGTTCCAGAAAGATATAGAAGTTCTCCACAAATCGATTGAAGCCATATTTGCCAGGTGTCATTAGCAGTAATACGTGATGAACCAGTCGTGTAAAAATATTGTGCTTCGATAAAATGAGGAAAACTTGCTGCAACAATATCCATACCAGGCAAAGAAAACCATTTATAAATTAATTCTGTCGGAGTTTGAATATATGTCATATTTGTCGAATAATTCCAAAAAGTTTGATATTGTTGTGCATGAGTTTCATTGAAACTACGTTGTACAACTTGAACAATTGTCATGTTAGAAAGAGTTTGAGAACAATTGAAATCAAGATGTTCAACTTGATAATTCGGTGATGGATTTTGAACAGAAGAAATACCCGAGCATGTTATATGTGGACAAGCAGTCGTTGTCGAGTTTACTTCTAAATGAATATTTGATATCAATAAACAAAATATGAAATGTGTAATTGAAAATCTTATATACTGAAGAAAAATTCGATCATTTTTACAATTCTGTAATGTTTACAATAAAACATATTTTATGTTAACAAACGGCTGGAAGAAGGCAAGGTTTTGCACTTAAACCATAGTTTGCCTGATCTGATGGGGTTCCGGAATTTTGCCAATAGGACTTTCGCCAATAAATTCGGTGGAGTTTCGCCAATACATTCGGTGGACTGTCGCCAATTGGCGAAAGTACAGTGAGCTTTCAGCAAATTCATTATAAATTAGACGCAGACTGAAAATTTTTTTTTTGCCTACATCGGTAAGTGTCAACTATGATATATATATCCTAGTAACATTAACTTCAGCGCTGATATATATCTTTTATTAATATTATTCTGCAACCACTGAAATAGTCCATCTCACTTTCGATAATTGACGAAAATCTACTATACTTTCGCCAATACATTCCCTGAAATTTAACCAATTGGCGAAAGTCCACTGTACTTTCGCCGATATACCCTCAGGACTTTCGCCATTGGCGAATGTCTTATTAGCGAAAGTCTTATTGTCAAACATCCCGCCACCCGATCTGATAAAGGTCTCCGCCCTGAAATGTTTTATTGATTAAATGCGAATTAGAAGAAAACTTCTATGAATGTAATTCAGTGAAAAGTAAAACAAATATAATTGATCATGATATAGTTATCGAACCAAAGAAATCATATAAACAGTTTAATGCATGCGTTCGTTATTTCATCTAAAACTACCTGTCAGAATTAAGAGATAATTGTAACTTAATTTTTATTAAACTATTATCGGATGATTTAAAGAACAAATGAGATGTTCTACTTGTCTAACATAAAAGTAAAGAAGTATGTTATGTCTTGAGAGCGACTATCAGATTCAATTAAGACTCTACGAGTTCGTTTTGGTTAATATCTGTTATTAATTAATAAATGAGGTATTGGTTAGTGGTGCCACTTTACAGTCAAACAGAGCATGATTAAAATTTAATACTGAAAAAGTTAAAGTTAAAATACCTTTCTTTTGTATTGTTTTGTTATTTTTCATAAAAAATAAACATTAGGAAACAAGAAATGATCTAATCTTAAGGAAAGAAATAAGTTTTCTGAAAAATGGACTTAAAATTTGATCAGATTTAAAGTTAAAGTTAAAAGTACGTTGTCTTTAACAATTTTATCAGAGTTGTCTTCAAATATAATTGCTGTAACTAGTATAGGTTGGAAAATTCTTGAGTCCGACGAGCTCGACTTTGAACAATTAAGTCTCGATGAAGAACTCTTGATCACATAGAAGAGAATAGTTTTTAGAAAACCAAGCTGAGAAAAATTCGTAAAAAATGCGTTTAAATGTTCATCTTGAAAGGCAATTGTTAGTCATTAACGTTCATTAAAAAACGCAAGCTATGCGTTTTTCTCCGGAAAATGGTCACCTTCAGAGTGTGAAAATGACGAAAGACTCTAATTTTCGATCTTTAAAACGTGCTTTAATGCTAAACTTTAAAAAAACTATGTGTTGTAACGTTCTGAAAGTGATAATTTTACGCAAAGGTTAATTTTTTTTAATGAGCTTTAATGGGGTACTATTGTAATTCCATTTGAGCGTTTAAACGAGTTTTTCAAAATTTTCGTCTGCTTCGAAAGTTATCACGACTCGTTTATTTCAATACTGAACAATCAGTAAACTAATTTTACGTTTCTACAGATTTATCATAAAATTTCCTTTGAGCCGAACTTATACTTACGAAAAAAAAACAGACTGCTGGAGTTTCATACAACTGAATTTTCTTCTCTGTTGGAACAAATTAGAATTGAAATGGTAATTCTTCGAAGTTTTTTTACGATAAGATGTTTTATCATTTTTATATCATCGATTTTTAGCTAAAAACACGAGAATTTATAGATTCGATGAACTTACTTGGCGCGAGAACTGCTCCAAGAGGTATTCCGACTGCAGCAATTATTGTACTAAACATAACGAAATATTTAAGAAAAGTCATTAGGCTTTGTGGCAAAGAGGTAACTGATGCTGCAGTGGAAGCCACATTATTGGCATTGATAGTATTTTCAACAGCTTGTAATTTCATAGTAGTGGTCTTTAAATATAGTCTGAAGATAAAAAAATTAATTCAACTGAAAAAAAACTTGTTACCGGCAAGTTATTTTGTGCATTTTGAATATCCGCATTTGATTTTGAAACAAGATTTTCTTGCATTTCGACTTTTACATTTGTTGTTGAACTGGTTGCTTTGTTTAATGTCTAAATCACAAATGAAATTGATCAAGTCTTGTAAGATCTATAAACATTAAAAAGATTCTTGCAATTCTTCGACAAATTTATCCAAATTTAGAATTTCCATTCTCCGTTTGTTTTTAAATTCCTCTTCCAATACTCATTTCTTTTTTGCTAGCAGAACTAAATATGACAGATTCTTATAGACTTCTCTATTGCTTTTATTTGTGGTCGTTCTTGTTTCTTAAACTTCTCTTTCATTAATGTTTAATATCTATAAAAACGATTTAAACTCCATGAAAAACCTTTCATAATAACCAAGAAGTATCGACAAGTTAAATTCAAGATTGAAACTTTTCTTTTTTTATAATATGAAGCAAAACTAGCGCGTAAAACGACATCACGAGAAAAGTAGAAGCCGATGTATTCTTGTAAGCTTTCGCTAAATTAAAACTTTATGTTCCTTGATTGTTTTAGTTAAAATATAAATTTTAAGATTCAGTGATCAATTTCAGCCGTATTATAGCCGAAAACTACATAAAATGCGATCGACGACTAGATTTAAAGACTAAAAAAAGCATATCTCTATATGTCAAAAACCAATTGTACAAGTTAAACTATCGCAGTTATTGTCTATAGCAGAATGGAACACAAGTCAAAAGTGAATGACTGCCACCAACTCATTAATTTAACATCATGCGAACAAATCTGCCGAGCTGGAAATAAAAGTAGTCGAAAATAATATAGAGAGTGACTGTCAATGCCAGTCTTTTTTTTTTAAATACATGTGTTTATCGTGTCATTCAAGTATTGGTTCACAACCGAGCGTAGTAATTAGCAGTAGCGTTTATAACTTTCAACGATGCAACACTTCTGATATTCCGCATATACATCTTGAAGTTACATAGTTTACGGTACCGCTAGTTCTGAAGATGACAATAAGACAGTTAACATGTGTAAAAGGAACAGAAGAAAAAAAACATTCAGAGCGGAGAAAAAGAGAAATAATACAATTAAATTGCATTGGAGAGTAGTTATGCTTGTGTTTTACTATGTTTTAGCTATCTACAGAGTGTCGCACAAATGATTTCGCGATAAAAAATTGAAATATTTCCGTCAGATGTCAACTAAACAATCTAAAATTTTTACCAGTGATAGACGCGTATTCAAATTTTATATCCATAAAGACATGCCTAGAGAGACCCTTTGCTAAGTATCACTATGGATCTCAACAAAATAGTTTTACTTTTTCACGAATAGGTAAAAAAACAATATATTTAATAAAGGATCTCTCTGGGCATGCTCTTATGGGTATAGACTTTGAATATGCCTTTATCATTGGTAAAAATTTCAGATCGTTTGGTTGACATCTGGCGGAGATATTTCAATTTCTTATCGCCAAGTTATTTATGGAACATCATGTATTTAAGAGGCATTGCACGTAAGCCACGACCATTTCCTGACAACCTTGCTCAATCGATCTCACCGATTTGGCTGATATTTTCAGAGTAGGTAGGCCTA